GGGAGGCGAGACCGAGGGGAGGGAGGCCAGATCGAGGGAGGCGAGACTGAGAGCGAGGGAGGGCGAGAGTGAGGGGAGGGAGGGGAGGGAGGCGAGCGAGGCGCGCGAGGGGTGGGGGCTAGGTCTTCGCGTGTTTGGGGAAAATCTGGGGAGAAATAAGAGGCTTATATGCCTCGGTTTTTTTGGGCCCGAGGTAGTAGAGGCTTATACGCCTCGGTTCTTCTTATCAACCGGTGCAGTATACTCCTTTTACCTCGGGTTTCTCTTAACTGCGTCAGAAATTGTGTCAGAAACCACTCATTAGGCACCGGTTGCTTTTACAACCGAAGTGGTAACCCTTTTTGGCACCGGTCAAATCTGAACCGAGGCCTATAAGGTCTCGTTAATTACAAAACTGCCACCGTGTCTGAATAGACAGCGGTTTGGTATAAACCGAGATCTATTGTGCGAGTTTAAAAGCACATTTTGTACTAGTGAGAGAAAATAACAAAACAAATTTCAATGAACTAAAGTGTATTTTTAGGATGCTAGTAAAAAGGAACAGTTAAAATTTGTTCATATTTATCTCTAACTTTTTTTTTCTGTGTCGTAAGGAGACAATACTGATTGGTGTTGATTTTTGAATTAACACCACAAATCTAGTAAACTGAAAAAAAAAACAAAAAAAAAAAGACAGAACAAAAGCAAAGCACCATAATGTTTTTGTTTTTTCTGTGAAATTCAGGTTCACAGTGTCATTCTGCTGCAACTATATATACATCTTATTAACTGAACAAGCTGAATAAAAAAAGGCTATATATATATATATATATATAATATGTATTCATAATGTATGTATAAATAGTACTATTACCTTTGCAGTGCATGCAGCTGAAGTCACTATCTAAGGGGTGGAAACAGAATGAGGTTTGTATGGATGGTAGGAACAAGATGATGGCAGTGCAAAGAAAGAGATGTGATGTAACATCTTTTTTAGGGTTTCTTTCAGCACTTTAACAATTGCTTGCATCATGTGCAGCTTGGTTCCTCTGCTTGCTTATACCTTTATTCCTTTTGTTTTTTCAGAGGGACAAATGTTCATTAGCTGCCACTATGTGTGTGTGATTCATGAGAAATGAGTGAGAGAGTCATTGGTGAGAAAGTACCTTCTTCAATTCTGTGTGTTTTGTTGTAGGACCAACATGTTTTGTCTAACATGACACACCTTCACTTTTCTTCTTCTGCTTTACTACTTGTGACATGGTTGTAATAATCATGCAAGTTCATGGTGTTTCTTGTTCGCCATACCATGCCCAATGCTCATATACAGAACTTTGAGTTTTCTTCTTCTTTTTCTTCCTTTTCCCACAGATTTATTTTGGTTACAGTGTCTCCCAACTAATAGTAATGAACTCATTTCTTTCAAGTTCAGACACAGATTATCAAACTAGCTTTTGTCCTTTTTGATAATTCTATATGTATGTATAATTTGAAATAAAATTTCCAACAATGAATCTTAGTTACCAACCAACTGTGTTCAACTTTTTTATCTTTCTTTATGTTAAACATGACATATAAATGCCTTTTTTTTAATAAAAAATATGATCTTTTTATTTTGAATGATTGATTCGTTTGGTTAGACTTCACCCTTTGATAGATGACTTTTTTTTTGTCATTTTATACCATAGGTATGAAATGTTAACTATTTTTATTGATAAATCTACGTTGAAAAATTGTTTAACAACTTTTCAGTTATATTTATTTTATATTCATAAATTTTGAACTTTATATGTTACTTGAACTATCTTAATCTAGTTTTTTTCATTTGAGTGACTTTTTTAATTGAAATATAATTGTGTAACTGATAAAAAAAACAAGAAAGATAAAATATTTCATGGAAGAATATTAAATTTGAATATAGAAAAATCCGTTCTCAAATAAATCTAAAATTAATAATGTTTTTGGGGGATATCACGTGTTGCTTCAATTAAGAAAAATATGGTTTCCAAACAAAAAATTGTTTTTATAAGCAAGATTAAAGGATTTAATATTTTAAATTATATATGTGTAAATTTGTAGTTTCAAACATTCTAATCAATTCAAGAAATTACTCTAATTTATTGTAATTTTAGGATTTATGATTTTCACAAAATATATTATTAGAAGGATTTAAGAATTTACCTAGATCCATTGTGATATTTGAATATAAAAGATTTTCCCTCTCTTGCACCAATCCGATAAATATTTATAAAGATGTAATTATTCATGTTTTGAGAGTTCTCTTTAAAGGTAACCTTAGTTCCATTCCTAATACCTAAAACCTAAGATTATTGAACTTTATCATGGTTCTTTAGTGACTGCTTGAATGAACACTCACATTAAGATCAAGACTCTATAATAAGGTAGAGCCTTAGATTTATTTCTAACATCCAAAAGCAAGAAGAGAATCAGTTGAACCACAACTTGGAATGAGTTATCATTCAATCCCAAGCTAGTGAAATAAGATGACTGATTAGTTCATGCAATAACAAGCATACATTAATTCACAAACATGTAATAAAAACATACTTTAATAAATACAATAACACCTGTACAAAAAAGTTTCAAAGGCTACGTCTTAGCTTCAACACAAGAGAGGTTTCACTTATCATAAAGGATATAAACTTTGTAATGCTTTTGATAGCCATGCCTTTTCTCCCTCTCTAAAGGTATATAATAAGTATAGAGAAAGTGTGTTNGAAAAATTGTTTAACAACTTTTCAGTTATATTTATTTTATATTCATAAATTTTGAACTTTATATGTTACTTGAACTATCTTAATCTAGTTTTTTTCATTTGAGTGACTTTTTTAATTGAAATATAATTGTGTAACTGATAAAAAAAACAAGAAAGATAAAATATTTCATGGAAGAATATTAAATTTGAATATAGAAAAATCCGTTCTCAAATAAATCTAAAATTAATAATGTTTTTGGGGGATATCACGTGTTGCTTCAATTAAGAAAAATATGGTTTCCAAACAAAAAATTGTTTTTATAAGCAAGATTAAAGGATTTAATATTTTAAATTATATATGTGTAAATTTGTAGTTTCAAACATTCTAATCAATTCAAGAAATTACTCTAATTTATTGTAATTTTAGGATTTATGATTTTCACAAAATATATTATTAGAAGGATTTAAGAATTTACCTAGATCCATTGTGATATTTGAATATAAAAGATTTTCCCTCTCTTGCACCAATCCGATAAATATTTATAAAGATGTAATTATTCATGTTTTGAGAGTTCTCTTTAAAGGTAACCTTAGTTCCATTCCTAATACCTAAAACCTAAGATTATTGAACTTTATCATGGTTCTTTAGTGACTGCTTGAATGAACACTCACATTAAGATCAAGACTCTATAATAAGGTAGAGCCTTAGATTTATTTCTAACATCCAAAAGCAAGAAGAGAATCAGTTGAACCACAACTTGGAATGAGTTATCATTCAATCCCAAGCTAGTGAAATAAGATGACTGATTAGTTCATGCAATAACAAGCATACATTAATTCACAAACATGTAATAAAAACATACTTTAATAAATACAATAACACCTGTACAAAAAAGTTTCAAAGGCTACGTCTTAGCTTCAACACAAGAGAGGTTTCACTTATCATAAAGGATATAAACTTTGTAATGCTTTTGATAGCCATGCCTTTTCTCCCTCTCTAAAGGTATATAATAAGTATAGAGAAAGTGTGTTTAAAAAGCTCTTTAAAAATGTCTCTCTAAATCTCCCAAATTTTTTTACTAAAATATGGATACATCATTTTTATAAATTGTCTAGGGTAGTGTTCAATAGTGCACTTATGACTTAACAACAAAAGGTTTCCTTCTTATGTGGGTTTGCTTTTATGGCCCAACCTCATGATTTGGTGCTCAACTCCTGAGATAATTTCTTTAAGGAGTTTTCATGGTTTAGCCTCAGGTTTTAGTGCTTGAGGTTTTCTCTTCCAAAGAGTTTACTTTTTCTGGCTAAGCTTCAATTTTACCACTCAGCTGCATTAATAACTGTTTTGATCACAATTCCTTAAAATTCATCCAGTTTCATTGTTTTTCCACTTTGACTCTGATATGGTGTTGGAAACTACAAAACAAACTAAATTAGGATGAATTTAATAAAAGCTTAACATAGTAAAAGTAAGATAAGTGTCAAATTCATATCAAAATTAACTCATATTGGACTCCCAAAATTAATTCATATTGGACACTGGTGTTTTCTACATAACCATATGACATAATAGTTAGTATCATTGAAGTTAAGATATCATTGTTTAGAAGCCTAGTTTAGTCCATATATTGATTTCTTTAATTTACATACCATATTGTCCTTTCCTGTGGAAATGAACCTCTCAAGTTGATCTATATATATTTCTTCCTCTAAGTCACCATTTAGAAAGAGAGTCTTTACATTCATTTGATGAAACTCTAAATCATAATGAGTCACCAAATCCAAAATAATTCTCAAAAAGAGTCCTTCTTAGAAATAGGAGAGAATGTCTCTTTGTAATCAACGTCATCCTTTAAAGTAAAACCTTCAACAACAAGTCTAGCCTTCTGTCTTTCAATATTGCCTTTTTGAGACGTATGAATGCATAAGACTAGATAAGTTACAACTCCTTTGAATCCTTAAAACATAAATAAACTAGGGACATGTTTGTTTTAATTTCATAATCAATTTCACCCACTATTTACTCCTTCCAACAAAAGTTTATGGTTGAAATTATTTTAGGTATTCATTTCAATTATGTTTGAAAGTCTCACATGGACTAGAGATAAGGTCAATTTAAAATATATAAGCATATGCAAATCTCGCCTTATAAATCAGTTTTGTGAAATTGAATTAGACTTAAAATCCACTTTAAGTTAAACCATTTAAAATAAATTCTATCAATCTCTAAAATAGATATTTATTCATACACACATTCCAATTATGTTTGTTTATTGATTCAAACTAGGTTCTATCCAAGGAGGTATTACAATCCCAGGCTGGAAAATTTGTGGATTAACATAAAAGTGAAACTTACTGTCACAAACATGTACCACATCAAAGGTTTTCTTCAAGTCATAATAGTAGATGGTCAACATGATCATTGACCTTATCATCTCCTCTCCACCAGAAGGGTGTTCTAGCTCCCTGTGAAGGAGGTAGCGTAAGGATATCAAACATTGTCTGCTTCTCTTTTAGGGTCAATAAAACACCTCTAACAAGGTCCAGAGCCATGATATGGACATTAGTCTTTTGTTTATGCTTCTTGTAAGCCCATCCTCCTGTAGCTGCAACAGCAATTAATTAGGACCTATTTGAAAGAACATATTTTCGGAATCAGCAAAATTTAAACTACATTAAAGAAAAAAGCAAACTCGAGTCCTTTCAGTCCTCTAGAAAAAAAATTTGCAGGTGATAACCACGAAGCTGCTGTTTGCATTTCAAACTTGGGCGTATAGAGCACAGTCTCTCCAAAATCGTCCTCAAGCTTCTTGTAGATTTCCTTGTCACTCTTTCCAGCCCCAATTTCATCATGAATTAACTGAGAAACAGTACAAGTGCTTAAGGTTTGTTTGATAGAAACAAGGCTCACTTTCAAAAACTGCTAGTAGACATGGCTATTTTTTCATTTTAAAGAAATTCTGAATAGAAATGGAACAAAAACGGACATAAAACTAGGCAAGAAACTTCAAAATCTTAAAATATATGTTCTACATAACATAGGAAAATCAGTTATTTCACACGCCCTAAATTCCATCACAAGCTTGGCATATTCTGTTTAATTTTTTGTTGCTTCATCAAGACAAAAATTCAAGTTAATGACAATGAAGGGTACAAAAAACAAAAGGCTTTGATCAAAGCAAATGAAGCTTTACAAACTGTGTATTCAATTAAATCAGTAAGGGGAATTTTTCTTTTTCTTTTTTTTTTTTCTTTTCCTCTTGTGGATTGCAGGAATGAAAATTGGCAGGCATTTAATTGACAGAAAGCCAAAGTAAGCCTCAAAGAAGATAAACTATGCAAGCAAACAAGAAAGAATATTTCATTCCTCCGTAAAAGTTTACTTGTTACCAGAAGGGAAAGCTGGTTAAAAAGTATTGCATCCAAATGACACATTGATATTTGATAACTCATTCTAGAATTTACATAAAAAAAGAATTTCGGTGGTCGATGTTAATTTTCAATTTGCAAACAAAAAACAACAATCTGATATTAGACGCCACCCTTATGCACCAATTAATTTCAGTCCCTTCTCCTAATTATTTCAAGCTTAGAAGCCATTTGAAGTTCCAAACAAGTAGTTGAATGAAACACAAAATAAACACACTAAGAGAATCATGTTTCAGTTGACACTAAGGAAACAATTAATGAGTACGACACCCGTATCAGAAGGTAAAAGTGCATAGAAAAACACCTTTCTACCAAAATGGCAATGTCTGCTTGAGAATCCTCAATGGATTGACTCCCACACTCCGTGCACCTCACATTGGGACTAATGTTTCTAGCCCGAGCATCAACTATCATTGCTTTCTTCACTGCATCATTCTCACTCGCCATCCCAACCTACCCAAACAAATACCATTAAAACATTCAAAGGAAAAAAAGGACTTTGTATGCTATGCTGAAGAGAAAGTAATGAAACTTCTGTTTTAGCCACACATTTCACCAAACAGCCGAAAGGAAAACAAACCAGGACAAGAACACAACAAACGGAATCCAAAAAATTGAATCACGATGCCTTAACTCTAGCACCTAATGATCATGACATGAAAGTGACAGAACAACAAAAATTAATTCCTATAGTCAGAAGCATAAACAACGCGAAAAGTCTTCATTCATTCATTTTGTCAAACAGTTGCGATACACAAATTTCAACAGAAAAAACATTCCCTCCAAAACAAAAGAAAAAGTAAATTTTACCGTAGAGTTTAATATATGAATTTATTGAATATAGATAAATGAATATAGGTTTTACATAGAAACTCACTCTAACACATGTTTTCAGTGATGGGCAATTGATTACACGCAACTGTAATTAATTACAGAGTACTAAACTAATGCAGAGAGTCCATAACTTCACTAGTAATCCATTACACCATTATAATAATTGATTATCAATGCTGAAATTTGAATTATAGTGTTTGATAATCGATTATAGTATTGTTGTAATCTATCATCAGACGAAGAAATGATTAAAATAAAATTAATGGTTGAAAATGTGATATATGATTTGTGGTCTAAAAGTACAATAAAGTTATAATTCATGGAGTATGATTTAAATTTTGAGCATACTAAGAACAAATCAACACGAATAGAAGTAAAGAAATTAATAAACAAAATAAAAGGTATTTTATTAATTCATAAAGTCATTACAGAAAGATAATAATAAAATTAAAAAATATTACAATAAAATTAAAATTTAAGAGAGTCTTGGTGGCCCAAAGTTAAGACATAGATAATCCATGTCTTGCTTGAAATGACATAGATAATCCATGTCTTGCTTGAAATGACATAGATAATCCAGTAATCTCTCTAGGTGTTTTTGATAAGGATGTTTTTGGCAGACTGTGCCTAAAGGTACCGTGTTGCCAATTTTTAAAATTTGCTTCTGTATGTATTAAAGAATATTTAAGAAGCAGCAGATAGACATATACAAACTGTATGCACTATTTTCTCTATAGGACGTTCATGTCACCAGTTTATCTAGAACCTTTTTCATTAATTATGTTATGTTTCAACGAGAATACGTTTTTTGTAATTACCATATGTTCATACTAAAGTTTATATTTATTATTTGTTTCTGTAAAATTCTTTGTTCTGCCTTAAGAGAATGGAAAAAGGAGTTGTAGCAGTGAGGTTCCTACATTCACTCAAAATATGCCATTACTGATTTGAGATGCTTTTTGACATTTTTAATGATTTGTTTCTTTAGTTTCTCTCTGAATACATCTGCTTTGATATTGTAGAGTTTTTCATAAAGCAATATCACTTTGATGTAATATTCACCTAAATACTCTGAATGCTTGGATTTTCTCTATCTAAGTGTTTTAATTGCTACATCTACTGTTTTAACAAAACTAGCTTCTACGTNATGGCCCAACCTCATGATTTGGTGCTCAACTCCTGAGATAATTTCTTTAAGGAGTTTTCATGGTTTAGCCTCAGGTTTTAGTGCTTGAGGTTTTCTCTTCCAAAGAGTTTACTTTTTCTGGCTAAGCTTCAATTTTACCACTCAGCTGCATTAATAACTGTTTTGATCACAATTCCTTAAAATTCATCCAGTTTCATTGTTTTTCCACTTTGACTCTGATATGGTGTTGGAAACTACAAAACAAACTAAATTAGGATGAATTTAATAAAAGCTTAACATAGTAAAAGTAAGATAAGTGTCAAATTCATATCAAAATTAACTCATATTGGACTCCCAAAATTAATTCATATTGGACACTGGTGTTTTCTACATAACCATATGACATAATAGTTAGTATCATTGAAGTTAAGATACCATTGTTTAGAAGCCTAGTTTAGTCCATATATTGATTTCTTTAATTTACATACCATATTGTCCTTTCCTGTGGAAATGAACCCCTCAAGTTGATCTATATATATTTCTTCCTCTAAGTCACCATTTAGAAAGAGAGTCTTTACATTCATTTGATGAAACTCTAAATCATAATGAGTCACCAAATCCAAAATAATTCTCAAAAAGAGTCCTTCTTAGAAATAGGAGAGAATGTCTCTTTGTAATCAACGTCATCCTTTAAAGTAAAACCTTCAACAACAAGTCTAGCCTTCTGTCTTTCAATATTGCCTTTTTGAGACGTATGAATGCATAAGACTAGATAAGTTACAACTCCTTTGAATCCTTAAAACATAAATAAACTAGGGACATGTTTGTTTTAATTTCATAATCAATTTCACCCACTATTTACTCCTTCCAACAAAAGTTTATGGTTGAAATTATTTTAGGTATTCATTTCAATTATGTTTGAAAGTCTCACATGGACTAGAGATAAGGTCAATTTAAAATATATAAGCATATGCAAATCTCGCCTTATAAATCAGTTTTGTGAAATTGAATTAGACTTAAAATCCACTTTAAGTTAAACCATTTAAAATAAATTCTATCAATCTCTAAAATAGATATTTATTCATACACACATTCCAATTATGTTTGTTTATTGATTCAAACTAGGTTCTATCCAAGGAGGTATTACAATCCCAGGCTGGAAAATTTGTGGATTAACATAAAAGTGAAACTTACTGTCACAAACATGTACCACATCAAAGGTTTTCTTCAAGTCATAATAGTAGATGGTCAACATGATCATTGACCTTATCATCTCCTCTCCACCAGAAGGGTGTTCTAGCTCCCTGTGAAGGAGGTAGCGTAAGGATATCAAACATTGTCTGCTTCTCTTTTAGGGTCAATAAAACACCTCTAACAAGGTCCAGAGCCATGATATGGACATTAGTCTTTTGTTTATGCTTCTTGTAAGCCCATCCTCCTGTAGCTGCAACAGCAATTAATTAGGACCTATTTGAAAGAACATATTTTCGGAATCAGCAAAATTTAAACTACATTAAAGAAAAAAGCAAACTCGAGTCCTTTCAGTCCTCTAGAAAAAAAATTTGCAGGTGATAACCACGAAGCTGCTGTTTGCATTTCAAACTTGGGCGTATAGAGCACAGTCTCTCCAAAATCGTCCTCAAGCTTCTTGTAGATTTCCTTGTCACTCTTTCCAGCCCCAATTTCATCATGAATTAACTGAGAAACAGTACAAGTGCTTAAGGTTTGTTTGATAGAAACAAGGCTCACTTTCAAAAACTGCTAGTAGACATGGCTATTTTTTCATTTTAAAGAAATTCTGAATAGAAATGGAACAAAAACGGACATAAAACTAGGCAAGAAACTTCAAAATCTTAAAATATATGTTCTACATAACATAGGAAAATCAGTTATTTCACACGCCCTAAATTCCATCACAAGCTTGGCATATTCTGTTTAATTTTTTGTTGCTTCATCAAGACAAAAATTCAAGTTAATGACAATGAAGGGTACAAAAAACAAAAGGCTTTGATCAAAGCAAATGAAGCTTTACAAACTGTGTATTCAATTAAATCAGTAAGGGGAATTTTTCTTTTTCTTTTTTTTTTTTCTTTTCCTCTTGTGGATTGCAGGAATGAAAATTGGCAGGCATTTAATTGACAGAAAGCCAAAGTAAGCCTCAAAGAAGATAAACTATGCAAGCAAACAAGAAAGAATATTTCATTCCTCCGTAAAAGTTTACTTGTTACCAGAAGGGAAAGCTGGTTAAAAAGTATTGCATCCAAATGACACATTGATATTTGATAACTCATTCTAGAATTTACATAAAAAAAGAATTTCGGTGGTCGATGTTAATTTTCAATTTGCAAACAAAAAACAACAATCTGATATTAGACGCCACCCTTATGCACCAATTAATTTCAGTCCCTTCTCCTAATTATTTCAAGCTTAGAAGCCATTTGAAGTTCCAAACAAGTAGTTGAATGAAACACAAAATAAACACACTAAGAGAATCATGTTTCAGTTGACACTAAGGAAACAATTAATGAGTACGACACCCGTATCAGAAGGTAAAAGTGCATAGAAAAACACCTTTCTACCAAAATGGCAATGTCTGCTTGAGAATCCTCAATGGATTGACTCCCACACTCCGTGCACCTCACATTGGGACTAATGTTTCTAGCCCGAGCATCAACTATCATTGCTTTCTTCACTGCATCATTCTCACTCGCCATCCCAACCTACCCAAACAAATACCATTAAAACATTCAAAGGAAAAAAAGGACTTTGTATGCTATGCTGAAGAGAAAGTAATGAAACTTTAGTTTCGGCCACACATTTCACCAAACAGCCGAAAGGAAAACAAACCAGGACAAGAACACAACAAACGGAATCCAAAAAATTGAATCACGATGCCTTAACTCTAGCACCTAATGATCATGACATGAAAGTGACAGAACAACAAAAATTAATTCCTATAGTCAGAAGCATAAACAACGCGAAAAGTCTTCATTCATTCATTTTGTCAAACAGTTGCGATACACAAATTTCAACAGAAAAAACATTCCCTCCAAAACAAAAGAAAAAGTAAATTTTACCGTAGAGTTTAATATATGAATTTATTGAATATAGATAAATGAATATAGGTTTTACATAGAAACTCACTCTAACACATGTTTTCAGTGATGGGCAATTGATTACACGCAACTGTAATTAATTACAGAGTACTAAACTAATGCAGGGAGTCCATTACTTCACTAGTAATCTATTACACCATTATAATAATTGATTATCAATTCTGAAATTTGAATTATAGTGTTTGATAATTGATTATAGTTTTGTTGTAATCTATCATCAGACGAAGTAATGATTAAAATAAAATTAATGGTTGAAAATGTGATATATGATTTGTGGTCTAAAAGTACAATAAAGTTATAATTCATGGAGTATGATTTAAATTTTGAGCATACTAAGAACAAATCAACACGAATAGAAGTAAAGAAATTAATAAACAAAATAAAAGGTATTTTATTAATTCATAAAGTCATTACAGAAAGATAATAATAAAATTAAAAAATATTACAATAAAATTAAAATTTAAGAGAGTCTTGGTGGCCCAAAGTTAAGACATAGATAATCCATGTCTTGCTTGAAATGACATAGATAATCCATGTCTTGCTTGAAATGACATAGATAATCCAGTAATCTCTCTAGGTGTTTTTGATAAGGATGTTTTTGGCAGACTGTGCCTAAAGGTACCGTGTTGCCAATTTTTAAAATTTGCTTCTGTATGTATTAAAGAATATTT